TCGTGAGGTTGCGAGGTGTGACGGAGGTGGCATTTCGTGACAGGCGCGGTACTTTGTGCACATTAGACGTGTGGATGTGGAAAGATTCGCGGCGGACGCAGGGAATCGTGAGGTTGCGAGGTGTGACGGGGGTGACATTTCGTGACAGGCGGTCATGGCTGGACGACTGGTCCATGATCGCACTCTTGCGTGGCTCTCCTTTTGCTTTCTTGAAAGACGCCAACGATGTCCTCGGAGCAGAAGTTGCAGACGACGCCATGCTAGTTCGCTACAAAGAGGGCGACAGCTCCGTGACGAGGAGCAAGAGAGTGCGTTCTGGCACTGCGGCCCTGGTGTCTTTGCAGGATGCCGTGAGCACTGCTCTCGAAGCTTGTGGGAATACTCATTGTGCAACGGACGTCGGCTTTGTTGCGTTGGCCACGGAGCTCAATCTTGGCTTCATCATTGCTGGAAATACTTGGACCCAGACGTCTGTTGTTCGAGGCTCCGGTGACACATCTAACAAACGTGTGTGCGATAAATCCATACGAATGTTGGACTAATGACATAACCTATAGGATAGTTTTCTTCACTTCCGTTGTGTGTGTCTCATATACTTCTTGTCGATGCAGGCGAACCACAACAACGCACGGTCTTGCACTCCTATTTACAAGAAGATCAGACGCCGCAATTGTGGATTTCTCTGTATTATGTGGATGGTTATCATTTTCAAGTGCTTATTTTCGAGATTTTGGGACAATGCCATTGTTTCTTTCGTGCCGCGGATCTGCCAGAACCTTTACGCCAGTGCTTGATTTGAATGCAAAACAAAGATCCTTCATGATGAAGACAGAGCTTGGTGGTGAAGTCCCCAGCGCATGCTGCCTTGGTGGTGGAGTCCCCAGCGCATGATGTCCAACAGCGTGTCAGAGAGTGAAAAAGAGATTCTGACCGGCTGTGTCTCTTTTTGTACACAGTGGTTTGACGTATGTGTTTGCATTCGGGTTCGTGGGCTCCATCTTGTTTAATGCAGCTCTTCTTGCGATCAATTCTGGGCCTGCTCTCACATGGCATATAATCTTGTATTGAATTCATGGCATTTTGACACATCAACTCATTAAAGTAGACTCTTGATCAATAAACCCTAATCCGTCTGATTGGGAAAAACCTCTTCTTTCGGATAGGAATGGTATCGTGATGAATCAAATCGAAGCTCGGAGTTGGTACCTTGTATTTTCACTTTGCCTCACCTGGTAGTGGGTTGCTAGCCTTCCACACCCCCTAATATCATTTAGTACACCGAATCTTCCCGTCCAATCCTTCCGTCTTCCATTCGCCCTGCCCTATCTCTTCACCCATCCCTGCCTTTTTCGTCGACCCCTTCTGAGGTGCCTTACAGGGATGGGTACATGTGGGGGAGCCCAGAACCCATGGTGGAACAAGTCCGCGCTCGCGCTCTTCTCCTCGTCGATCGCCCAGTTTCGGAGCTCGCCCGGCTCACCACCGGAGCTCTCAGCGGTCCAAGACCGAGCGGCGGGGTTGAACCCTTGAGCTCCAGCAACGGGTTGACACAGCGGCGCCTTGAAGGGTGTATCTCTTTGAGCTCCATGTCCGGCTTACAATGATTCACGAAGAGCGAGAGAGCGAGAGAGAGAGAGAGGTCTTCGGGGTCTAGGAAGAGCGACTTTTTAGTGTTGATGGTGAGATCTGATGAGTATCTATTCCTGTTTGGGGCCAAGGCACGCCTTGGAAATGTTGTTCGTGCGCGATCTTCGTGCGCGGGTTTTCGAGGCCACTACGAGCTCGGAGAGAAGCAAAAGGCCAAAGATTGCTGGAAGGCCAGGGTGGAAGAGCGCCCTTTGGCGAAACTTCCCGGCGGAGCTCGGCTCGTTGATCGGTGCAGGGTACAGGGGTTTGAGACATTTGGGGTAAGGGGCGATCTCCCCCACAAGCCATCCAACGCAAACTCACAATTGGACCTCGAGAACCGACCCGTGGTCGAACGACCATGTTCTGAATCTCAAGCCCAGTGGTCTTGGGGTTCCATGTGACTGGCAGGGGAGTAGATGCCATACTGTAGATCTCCACCAGCACCCTCCAACAGGCTGTTTGAAGACCCTAACAGGTGGTTGCTGGGCATCTGTTGTCACCAAGGATATTATTACTAATGCCATCCAAGACCGACGCCTGGATCTTTCCTGTCCGTGACACATTTCGGCCTCTCCATCCATCCAAATGCAGCCCAGTTCGGCATACATTGGGCATATAGTTGGGAGATCCCAAGACCTTCTGCCGTTGGGCAATGGGCTCTGAGCCGAACGACCGGGGGCCGGGCGGCCGGAGACGGTCTCAAGGGAGGTATCCAGTGACCAGTTTCATAGGACCCGGATAACCTGGGGTACCGGTTGCTGGGATAGTCGAACTAGAGTCTTTCAACCTCTGTTGGCAAGATCTGTTTCCCGTTCAACCCCTGGTGGGATCTAGTTCGGGTCCTTCAACCTCTGGTCAGGCAGCCTTACAAGTGTGCCCTTCGATGCCGGGAGCGCCGGGGAAGCTCAGGAGGAACGGGGGAGAGGTCGAGGTCGCCCGGCACGGGAGGGGCGGGACCGGGGCGGAACGTGGTGGCAGGGGGGTATCGTGAGAGGTCGGGGGCTGGGCGTTGAGAGGGAGGACCTAGCCTGCAGGGTCTAGCCAGGCACTAGGGCGTACTACAGTGAGTACTACTGGGCGTTGGTTGTAAGCCTGTTTACACCATCGATAGGTGACTTGTGCACAACCTGCACACACAGCGCCTCGACTCGTGCAAAAAAAAAAGTAAGCCTGTTTACACCATCGATGGCTTACGCCGCACTTACTCATTACCTAGCACTTCCTGTCCGGGTGCCCTGTCTGGAGACCTGTTTGCGTAGGGTAGGGTATTCTATTGGACACCCAAACAGGATGATCCTGGTACTAGTGGTTGAGTAATAATGGAGGGGATACCCATATCAGAGTGCCAATAGGTATGTCACATTATGTCACGGTATGTGGAGAGACATGTGGTATTCTATGGTAACTGGCACCGTATCTCTATTCTTCCCGTTCAGTCGGAGCTCATGAGCTTATGGACTGGAATAGTTACATGATGTTTCATGCATACAACTTCCCACATATTTATGAACCTAATGTAGGGTGGGTTATCACTCACCAACTGTCTGGAAGTGATAACCACTTCACTTATCCACTCTTCACTGGTAGGGTAGACCCAAAGTCTACAATACCAGCACCCACTTATCGGTCGATTCGGAGCGTCCATGAATCGCCACGACTCCGAGGTGAAAAAATAGGGGTCTTAATGGACACCATCCCGGTCCTGGGGGGGTCCTGGTGGGGTTGTGACGTCGTACCTTTCTGCTTTCACCTCGCTTCTTCGCCGAGGCAGGCGAAGCTGGAGGAAGCAGCCACCCGGCGTCATGTGGTGGGCCGAGTTTGCCTTTTGGGGTTTTGGATGGTAGATGCAGATGGCCGAACCCCCATCTGTCTAAGACCTCTTGGGGTGCCAGTGCCATCTATTGAAGAGAGACCAAGTCAGTGGAGGAAGGGGATGACGGCAGCGTTGCTGCTAGGATGTCACGGCATCTTCCTCATTGAAAGGCCACATCCTGGAATTTTGGCTGATTCGGCCTGCTTCCGGGAACCGGTTTCTACTTTACACAGGACCAGATCGAGTCACTCGACGGAAACATGTAGATCTGGCCATCTTTCTGACCAACCACAACCACCAACAGAGGTTAAGTGACCGTAAATAGGACCCTACCAGGGTACCGAACTGGGATAGCCGAACTAGAGTCTTTCAACCTCGGTTGGCACGATCTGTTTCCCGTTCTTCCCAACCCCCCCCCAAATGGGTCGGGCATAGAACTGGAGTCCCACGCAGTCGGATGTGTCTGCCGAGCACGGCGGCCGGAGCCTTCACGTCAAAGACATGGGCAGAAACACCAACAGAGGTGGGTCAGAACCCGACTCTTCGACTATCCCAGGAGTCCCGGTACCCCAGGTTTTCCGGGTCCCATGAAACCGGTCACTGGATACCTCTCTTGGCATGTTGAATGATGGATAGGAAGTTCATTGATACCCTAGAGGTCAAAAAGACCTCATTTTACTGGAGTTGGTCATACAAAAGCACTACTCACTACTCCCCCGCAAACTAACATAGAACGTGAGAATTGACCTGTGGAAGACCATTTTCCTCTACAACCCTGTGGTTTTGGGGTTCCATGTGAATCTGCAGGGGAGCACTCAACGAGGTAAAGGACCAGGTTTACTGAGTTTACTGGGTCTTTGGAAGTACGTTCACTGATAGAAACACATGTTCATGATGTTGGACGTTCATTCAAACATGTTTGAAGTTCACTGATGAAACATGTTGGAGGTTCATGAAAGACATGTTCATGATACAGCATGTTCCATGATGTTGGAGAAGAAACGGTGTTCATGTGGAAGTTCGTGAAGTTTACAAGGTCATGTCACCTATTGAACACACGTTCACATGATCACACGTTCACACGTTCACCCTCGGGACCGTGCGGTGGGTGAACGGGTGGTTTTATTTTGGTTTTACTTGCCCTGGTTTTGGGCTGTCCATAGCTGTACTCTTAGACCTGGAGCTTTTGGGGGTTTACAAAGGATGTGCTGCTTAAAACACTAAACTGGTTTATCTCTCACTCTGACTCTGACCCTTTTTTCTATGATCCGCAGCTGCTTGTGGTTCCGCTTTTGGGCAGCCTTGCTCCGTTGTTTCGTCGGCTCCAGCCAACGCCTCCCGCTTCTGAAACCGCAACGATGCAGGTTACGGCAGTGTCAGGCAACACAGTTGCTCAGCTTGATGAGGATGAGCTGGATCGCATGGTAGAAAGCGGGAAAGTTGTTCGGGACCTCAAGCGCTGTCTTTCAGCTCAGGTTGGGTGCTCAAGGTTTCGGCAACGACTCCTCGTTGACGAAATGGGTGAATTGGAGGATGACTTCCCAATACGACCGTTTCCGAGTGTGCACCTGATAATACTGCCCTTTATTGCTCCAGATGAAAAGAATCAGAAAGAGCTTCGTTCGAGCTGCAGGAAAAATCATGTGGCACATCTCGAAAAACTGCTTCAACAACCACAGGACCCGAATGGGAGAGGTCTATACATTGCAGCCCACGAAGGCCATTTGGAAGTTGTGCAATTGTTGCTGGAGGCTGGAGCTGACAAAGATGCAGCAGGTGCAAATGGGGCAACGGCTTTGCACTTTGCAGCCCAGGAAGGCCATTTGGAAGTTGTGCAATTGTTGCTGGAGGCTGGAGCTGACAAAGATGCAGCAGATGCAAATAGGGCGACGGCTTTGCACTTTGCAGCCCAGGCAGGCCGCTCGGAAGTTCTGCAATTGTTGCTGGAGGCTGGAGCTGACAAAGATGCAGCACGTGCAAATGGGGTAACGGCTTTGCGCATTGCAGCCCGCCGCAGCCACTTGGAAGTTGTGCAATTGTTGCTGGAGGCTGGAGCTGACAAAGATGCAGCAGGTGCAAATGGGACAACGGCTTTGCACATTGCAGCCCGCCGCAGCCACTTGGGAGTTGTGCAATTGTTGCTGAAGGCTGGAGCTGACAAAGATGCAGCAGGTGCAAATGGGGCAACGGCTTTGCGCCTTGCAGCCCAGGAAGGCCACTTGGAAGTTGTGCGATTGTTGCTAGAAGCTGGAGCTGACAATGCAGCAGACGCAAGTGGGCCCATGGCTTTGTGCATTGCAGCCCTGAACTGCCATTTCCAAGTTGTGCGTTTGTTGATGTACCATGCCATGCGCAATTCTTTGAATTGTTGTTGATTGCAAGAGCATGCAAGAGCCATGCTGGCCCGGATGCTGTTTTGCCCGCAATGGTGTTCAAAGTCGAAATGCTTTGAGGAAGATCTGGATGAGGTGTCTCCAGCACGTGAGACATGTTCATGCGTAGAGGGCACGTGATCTTGGGTGAGTGGCACCCAATGTTTCGGACGTGGCACCCTGGTGGATCGTGGCACCCTGGTTGTGATCGTGGCCCTTGGAGGGACCACTTCCATCTACAAAACAGGGTGGTTTTCCACTTCCAATGATTACCAAGAGAGGTCGAACAGCCCTAAGGTCGCCCATCCCATCCCATTACTATAGTGCGAGTGGCAGTCTGCCTGGCAGTCTGCCTTGCTTTTGTACCACCCACGGACGGCGGCGACCGAGATGGACCCTGGACCGGTCACCCAAAAGGAAGCACCCGAGACGAATCCCCACCCGACACTCGCGGGAACACACACGTTGGGTTTTGCGCATGTGCCAGCACCGAAACCAACAGGTCTCCGGCTGGAGGCTTTGGTCGACTGACTTAGTCGCGATGAAGATGACCTGTGAAGTCGGGATCCGTGGCGGTGCATGCCTGGACCTTCAAAGGGGTGTTGAATGGAGATCCCCAAGTAGCCAACAGAGGTTGAAGAACCCGAACTAGACTATCCCAGGAACCGGTACCCCAGGTTTTCCGGGTCCTAATTATAAGGTCACTGGCTACCTCTCTTGGAGTGTAGGGGCTTCCATTCATGACCCCTTGAAAAAGTGCTGGTGGTGATTCTGGTTTTCTGCCACTTCACGGGTGTTCTCCGACTCTGTCAGGTCACCCGACTCTGTCTATCAAAGCACAGACACCGTAGAGTCAGGTGCTGGCACATATCTCATTGGTGAAGAGGTTCCAAGAGAAGTATCCAGTGACCTTATAAGTAGGACCCGGAAAACCTGGCGTACCGGTTCCTGGGATAGTCGAGACTCTTCGGGTCCTTCAACCCACCTCTGTTGGTTTTGGTACCTTTTGTTTCTCAGCTTTCCAGGTGGAACCGCCGTCGACCACCGCCGAACTCGACGCCGGACCATCCGTGGATCGGACCGGTGCAGGATCGAGTCAGGGTCGGGTCTCGCTGGGTCACCGACGCCTGGAGTGGAGTGGAGTGCACCGGTCACCACCACGGATCCCGACTTCACAGGTCACCACCGTCGCGACTGGAAAACGTTTTTTTTCGAAAGCCTCCAGCCATGGGAGACCTGTTGGTTTCGGTGCTGGTCTAGTTGAGGTTTTTATGAGGTCTTCGGAGGCAGCAGCAGGGAAAAAGGGGGTCTTCCAGCCCCCAGGGACCCGACTTGCAGATCCTATCCTAGGGAATTACTATCCTAGGGATCCGTTTTCGTACCTTCTCAGGTACGGTGATGGGAGACGATTTATTTTGGGCGCCAGGAGGGCCCAGTCGTACCGTCTGAGAAGGTGGCAGTGGATCCCTAGGGTATATGATTTACTGATCCCACCTGTAAATCCTCCTGTTCCAGACTCCCCTCCCAACAAAGGGGCCACAGGGCTCTGCGGTCTTGCGGAAGCGCGTTCATCGCCGTTGGGCCAAGGAGGTCAACGAGAAGATGGATTTGCAGCTTGGGCGAACGTCGCGAACGCCGTCGGCGAGCGAAACAAGTCGCTGGCATCGTGTCCCTGGCGATCCAAGTACCTTCTCAGAAGGTACTTGGACCCTCCAAACCTACATAGCAGTGTCTCCAATCACCTTCTGAGAAGGTACTTGGATCCCTAGGGTGTAATATGATCGATCAATCCTTATGTATCCACTGCCACCTTCTCAGAAGGTAGGACTGGGCCCTCCAAGACTACATAGTCTCCAATCACCGTACCTGAGAAGGTACGACTGGATCGCTAGGGAATGTGAATGGTTGGTTGGGAAGGGACACATTGAGAAAGGTATAGATTCCAACCTTGGCGATCCCGGATGGTCCTGGCATCTGCGGTATCAATACACGCCAGGACCTTCCCGAGGTGGTTTCAGCCTCCACCTCTCGTCGCCAGGAAACACCTCCTAGAGAGGTTGAACAGCCCTAAGGTCGCCCATCCCATATGTACCACTACAGGGTCCTATATGGTCTCTCAACCTCCCTTGGCTCTTGCAAGGTCCAGGAACATACAAGATTGTGCAAAGTGTGCTGGGCCCATGGGTTTTTTGGCCATGCGTCGACAGTCAAATCAACGGCCGTGTCGTCTCGTGTCTCCTTCCCCGGTTCTACAGTGACTCCGTAGCATGTCCGAAGTCTGTGGATGTTCAGACGTGTGTGTTTCTTTGGTACGCTTCTCAGGGTGTATTGACCAAGCGAGTTTGTTTCCGGCACGTGCTTTGAATGCGCGCAGCCGCGCATGGGCCCCGAGAAGGATATCCGGTCGATCTGGGTTCCCACTGCGCCCTGGAATGGAATCCTTAAGGCAGGGAGAAACCCCAAAAGCACCAAGTAGCACGTTTTCGGGTTCTATCTACTTCAGACATCAGGCGAACGAGCCCAGCTCTCCCTCTCCTTGTTTCCCGGCCGAGGCATCTCAGGCTGGGCCACCGGTCGTGGGGTGCGCAGCTCTGGGGCATCGCCGATCACCGTGGATGGTGCAGACCGATCATCGTCCGGGCAGTGGGTGCAAGGGCCAAGAGACTCCTCCGACTTGCGATGGTTCCCCTTGGGGCCGAGGAGAATCTGGTCTTGCCATGCAGCGACTGATACACTCCCGATGGACTAACTATGGTCGCTCTGTGACCTGTGGAGTGGTGGGGAGAGTATGTTTTTGATTGTTTTTTTGGTGTTCTTTGCATCTGAAAACATCCTCTCGAAGATGGGGCGCAATTAGGCCGAAGACTGGTTGATGGGGCATTGATGGGTGTCTACCTTTGGTCCGTTTGATCTCGCTACCCTCCCCCCATCCCTCTGCCCCTGGACTGCTGGGGCGAGCTCGCTCGCTTGGCTCGGGCGCGGTTCAGGCCTCGCATGGATTGGCTCATCAGCAGTTTCCAGGATGGCGATCCACAACTCCAGTGCCTCGGCCACGCTCTGCGCGAGCGTTTTTGAACAAAGTCTGGCTCAGTGCTTTTTTTTGCCCCACATTGCCCCACCCTGTCAGGAGAGAGTGCTTTTTTTTCAACGTTCTTTTCTTTTTCTCCGCGGCGCTTGCGCGGCGCTTTCGCAGCGCTGGCGGTGAAACCTGGATCTAGCGACAGTTGGTTGGAGGAAATTTCGGCTTTTGCCGTGGAGTTGGTGCTGTGATGATATTGTACAAGGATTATTTAAATCACACAGGATCCCCAGCTCAACTGGGGTGCCACCTAACGGACAACACACTCATGCTTGGTTTCGGTTGCGGCATTCATCCGTCTCAGCTGGACATCTGTTGTTTTGAGCTGGACCGACCTTTGACCGAAGTGTACTGTTCTGCGGTGAGGAGCCTACAGAAGACGGTGGGCTTCGGTGTGGTTCCAAGCCAACCCACGTCCCCCTACCCGCGTCCCCTACAGGAGATTCACTGGACCTTTTGAACCATACTATTTAACTGTCCTTTTTTTTGGAGGGGGTTCGTTTCCCCACTCCAACCCAACAGGTGGAACCAGGGTTTCCCCTTATATCTTCCACCGCAACGACTGGTCGACGGGGGTCGGTCTATTCTGCCTTGTAGACGGGTTCTCCTCTCAAACCCGCCTGTGGTTCTGTTGCTTTTGTCCGCACTTTTCGGAGGGACTCGGCTCAGCCACTCTCCCAGAGGCCTTGAGTGAAAACTACGATTCTGGATATTCTGGCATTCCTAAACACTCCATGGGACTGCCATAGGACTGCTGATGATCGGATGGGATGCTTTCTGGATGTTTCAGAGCTCAATGTAGGCACCAGTCCCATGGCAGTGTTTGGGATTGTATCTGCGCTAAACGACCGTTCTCCGCACCTCCACGCGTCCCATCACCGTAAAAAGACCCACTGGCCAACTAGGTCACGGACGTCTGAGCCCTTTTCTTCTTCGTCCCCTCTCGATCTCGATCTCTTCGGCTGTTCCTTCTGTTCCTTCCAGGTCTGAACCGCGCGTTCTTCCGGAAACCGCGCGCGGTTTCCGCGTCACCCGGATCCGGTGGCGCGAAGCCGGTGGGACATGACCCTATCAAAAACAGGTACTGTACTTGTACCCATGTTGCCGAGGTACGAGTTCCATGTCGACTCCAGGTACTCCCTGTCATCCCTGTCCGGGCTCCGGGGCCCCGGCTGTTCTCGTCTTCCTCCGGATCCCTGGACCAGCGCCTGTCACTGAGGCCCGCGGGATCCAGCCACTGGGAGCCTTGGACGGGGGAGCGAGAGGCCCGCCGAGGTGCAGTGGGGCGGGAGGGGTGGTCATGGTGGTTTCGACCTGCCACTTGAGTGGGGCTGAGTGGAAGGAGCCAGATTGGCCAAATGAGTTGGGCCATGTCGGGCAGCAAACCTTCAACCCAGAGAAAATCACATCGAGAGAGAGAGAGAGAGACCTCTTGTCACTTGTCAGGTGGTACTTAGAGCGACCGAACCAATAGCAAAACATTATCTTTCTCGATTTTGATGCTTACTGATCTTACTGGCATGCTGTATGCTGATTGGTGGTAAATGACCTTCCATTGATCCACTTTTGGGGCGGGCTGGTGTCACTTTGTAAAGAGTCGTCCAGTCTTTCCGTCGACTTTTGGACGGGATCCGGGATGAGTGGACGAATAACCATTTCAATTTCAATCAAACGCCATCTGCAGTTCCATGTCGGAAGGCTTTTGGGTTTCATCCAGTGAGCTGGATGTGACAGGCAAACAGCTGGGCAGGGATCAGGCGCATCTTGGACCTTTCCGAAATCCTAAGGATGTGCACCGCATCCGGATGGACCAGGAGAAGTTCCCGAACGTGTGGGCACCTCGCCGGCAAAACCAAAGGCATTATTTATATGGTACTGGTATGTGCGTTCCTACACAGAACCATGGGTGACCCTGAGACGAGACCAGCAAGTTGCCAGTGTTCCTTCACCCTAGCCTAGCCTTTCAATGCAAACAATGGTTGACCTAGTACTATAGCAAAACTACAATGATTGTTCAGAAAGCCTGTTGAGTTAATGGTGGTTGGAGCCTACTTTGACCATGATCCGAGTAACCATGGGTCAACTCCAGTCAACCCGTCGGAAAATACGTTTATTCTGACTCGAACTGGGTGGTGCTGACTGACGTTGATAGATTAGAACGACATCTTCAACGTTTTGTTTTCCAGTTGGAAATCCCTGGAAGAAAACCATGTAACAAGAAAGGCCTTTGAAGTCCCCTGACGCTTTTCGATCGCTTCCGCCCCAGAGGCCTCCGCACGTGGCGTGTTGACCAATCTGGCGGGGACAGGGACATGCGCGCAGCTCGCGCCGGTCGTGCCTGCGGCGCGTGCGAGACGCTGCGTGCTGCGAGGCCTACTTCTTCCGGCTCTCGTTGCGGCCGGGCGTCAGGCGGCACGTGAAAAGCGTGGCACGCTTCTACCTGCTTAAGGCCTCGACCTGCACGGAAAGAGCATTGGGGAAAGGCTAAAGGGGGATGCCGACTTGTGGCATGATTGGTCGATTGGTGGAGGCATTGAACATTGAGACTTCTGGGCATTTGGAGTTCTGGGCAGCGCACGAACCAGTCGCTCCGGTGGATGGCAGGGAGCTACCATCACTGACGTCCCTTTGACTCACTGAACATCGAAATGGCAATTGATAGCTGGGAAGACGCTAAACTGCTCCAATGTTCAATTAGTAAAACCCCCCTCCTCCCCAATGATTCTTGTTTGGGGGTCAAACATCTCAATCTCAATTCCCTAGCGCTCCAAGTACTGTACCTTCTTAGAAGGTGTTTGGTATTCGGGTTTAGAAGGTCCGAATACCTGAGGAGGTACGACTGGAGCCCTAGGGATTGTAAACTTCCATGTTCGTCGGTTTTTTCCTCCCCTCCCAGTCTCCCCTCCATTGGGCTGTCGAAGTCCAGGGTTCGTCCCGGACCGCTGGAACCGTGGTGACCGTTACGATGCGGTGTGTCGGCTTCCTCCGAAGCGGTTAGGTATCACTGGACCCGACCCTGGCACCCACCCCAGTCCCACCGAAACGAAACGAGTTCGGTGCGACTGGAGCCCTAGGGCGCATGAATTATGACATCGATCTGTGGCCAGTGGTGTTAGAAGTTGCGAGGGTGCATCCGAGGACCAGTTTGTACATGTTGCTACTTTAGGGGGGTTGGCGTGGAAAGCCTCGTACATCCCTTCTAAACGTTGATGGGACCATCGTTTCTATCCATGTGCAGCTCCATTATCCCTTTTAAGAACATCCACGTTGGAGCGAACAGGACACACGGTTTTTCAGCCCCTGGACTATACGAGTTTCCTACAATTCCAAGTTCTTTTTCAGCCAACACTCCACCATTTTCAGCCAAGTAACTATGATGAGTTTCCCATCAGCTCCGAGTTTTCTTGTCAGCCCTAGCACTTCCAACGGGTGCCCTATCTGGAAACATCTGGAGACCTGTTTATGTAGGGTAGGGTAGTCTAGCCAGGACACCCAGACAGGACGATCCTGGTATATGACCCCAGGCCTCCAAGTAGCTACTGAAAAGGTGTGACTTGGGGTGGGTGCCAGGGTCGGGTCCAGTCATACCGAACCTGAGGAGGCACGACTGGAGGTGTAGGGTGAGTTTTCCCCCCACCCATCCCCACCCAGTTTTTCCATGACCAGCCAAGAGAGGTTGAAGAACCCGACTCTTCGGCCATCCCAGTTCGGTACCCTGCTGGTTACGGGTCCTATGAAACCGGTCACTTCTATAACCTCTCTTGGACACCCCCCTTGGCCTCGCTCCGTTCCGCCCGCCACAAGCCTCAGGGCTCGGACGGGAAGGTCTTCCCCTTCACGCGGCCGACCATCGACGCTCGGCGTCCGGCACCGATGGACCCGGGGCTCCGTGGCGGGTCGCCGTGAGCGAGCGCAGCATCGGCAGGTCAAGCTGCTAAGCCGAAGAAACACGGAGAGTGAGAGTGGCCGGTTCTTGAAACAGGTGCGGGTCAGCTAGTGTCGGGCTTTGAATTTCGCTCATTCTTCCTCCAAGTCTCCCAATTTGCCCATCAGAAATTCAACATGCGGGAATTCGTGCTTTTCATGGCATCCAATCCCCAAGAGTCCCTCAAACGTTCCCCCACTGCCCAAGTCCTCGTCCTCTTCCTCGACCCTCTTAGACACGCTTCTCTGACTTTCTCGCTTCTCTGCGTTGCTCGCGAGCTCGCCGAGGGCTCAGCGGGCTTCAGCCTGAAGCCGGGCGAGGAATACAAGTTCTGCTGGTGTTTGGTGGTGGGCCGCGAGATCCAACGGGTGCTGGCGCCTCGTCGGTCGAGTGGCGACCTCGCGCACGGTGCGCTCACACCGTGTGGGGAGAAGGAAGGTATGCAGTGTGAAGAAGCCATGCCTGGAACTCCAAACAACCAGAAATGAATAGAAATGATCCAATGGATGGTGTACACAAACAACATCAAGCAACCACTTGCTATCTAAAAGGACCTTTTTAATTGTCACGATGCTGACTTTTTAAAATGTGTATAGTGAAGCAAAGCTCCGCAAAGATCGGCATCCGCATCTGCTGGTATGTCCCCTCCCAGTTCAAAGTCAAGCAGATCAAAGAACTCCGCCTGAGAGTCAAAGTCTGCGAATAGACTTGAAGGGCTGGTCTTTGGAGGAACTGCTTTCGGGAACTTCCTTGGCGTAACTTATCAGGGCAGGGCGTCCAGTCTTTCGACTTCCAGGGGTCCTGAAATGGAGGGAGAGATGATTGGAATCGAATTAGGCCCCGAATTTTAACATTGGATCAACACAAACAGGCGAAACCCAAAACCCGAAACCCAATGAAAAATTATGGAACATCCGTATTTTGGGTATCTATGTGATGATGGTGCACAATAAAAATGGTGCTTTAGACCGGTCGATTTCATCCACGGCAGCCAGGCCCTCGGTGCTTTTCCCCAGCTCCCTCCGCCCCTTGCCCACCGCCTCCGAGCCTGCTCCGAGGCAGGACAACTCTTCGAGGCCGACGGGGCCGAGTTGGAGGAGGCCGAGTCCTTCCACCGCGAGGAGCTGCCGATGCTCTTCCCCACCGGCGCGCCCGAGGCGGAGAGCGGTCCCGGCTGTCGCATGGTCCGACGCGGTGGTCGCGCGGTTACCGTGTGTTTGAGTGGGCTCGGGAGTGATTTGGAGTGTAAACCAAAGAATTTGGACAAAGAATGTGAGCTAATGGGTTGCTCGGGATTGGCTATTAAAGACGAGGGTGAGGGTGGGCCCAGAGGCTGCCACCAGGTGCCACAGATCCCGTGGTCAAGTCGCCGAATAAGGTAGACTCTTGATGGACTAGAACTCTCCCCAGTCATGGGTTAGTGAAGCCTCTCCATGTTTATGGAACTATGTCAGACTCTTTCATATACATACCAGTCGCATCCACCAGGTCACCAATGGACAACCCGTACTTCTACAGGTAGACAGGGGCACCCAGACAGGCAGTGCTCTAGGTGTATATGGAGGCCGAACTGAGAGGATCCATCCAGTCACATCCGAAGCGCCCCACGGAACGCCGCCCACGCCCCGCCACGCCCCGAACCCCCGGTCGACCTCCCGGACCGCCCCCCCCACGCGCGCGGACGCGCCATTCGGCCGGCGCGCCCAGATCGAGCTGGCGGACGCCGAAGCCTTGGGTCCCGGAGCAGCTCGGCGATGGGACGGGGGGGAAGTTGGCTCAAGCCTCGAGGGAGGAGGACGTGTTCAACGTGGGGTGGCTGGGGAATGGAAGTGGTTATAAGGTGTTTTTCATTGTTTTTCGCTGCGCAGTGGATGGAAGGCATAGCGATAAGTTTAAAAGATAAATAAAGTTGGTCTTTGTTTTTTTTTTGGTCAGTTGATTCGATCAGACTGAAACTGAGGAAGCAGGGGGGAGCTTTTCACCGAAAGCATGTTAGAAAAGTCGGCTGCAAGTTTTACATGTTGTCCGGGATCATGTTTGAATAGATCACCATGGGATGAGGCCTCATTTTTTTAATCCATAATCCAGGAGTCACAAAGGGGTGGTGTTTAGTCCCCAAGTGAGTGGATAATGGGCACCCCTAACCTCCATTAAGCACCCTTTGTGACCGCTGGATGGAACATAATGTTGGATTTGTTTGTTCTGGTGGTGGCATTGCGGCTTTTGGCTTTCAGCTGTGCCCATAGTCCTTACATATCTCTGGAGTCGTTTTCAGCCCAAGTCACATAGCAACCGCTGAATAGATTCCTTAACAAGGGGGCTCCTTGTCGTGCTTCATGGTTCTCCACTAGAACATCCTAGAAGCTGGAAAACGTCAATCAATCCATCAATATACCTAGATCTTCCAACTGTGCAACATTTATGCCTGTTGGTTGATTTCATGGATGAACCGGCTGGAAATTCAGCACCAGTTGGAAGATCCAAGGTATCTCTCATGGCTCTTTCATGCACGGGCCGCCCTTGTTCTTGTCTTTTTTCTTCCACCGCTCGGTTCACCGGGGTCCGGACCGAGCAGGATGGCTACGCCTTCACGGGGCACCTCGACCTCTTCAACATCGCGGGCTTCTGACTGAATCGGCGACCCACCGAGACTCGGTGTGGCGCTCGGTGGCGCTCGATGGAAAGGTACCAACAGAGGTATCCAGTGACCCTTTTCATAGGATCCGGAAAACCTAGGGTATACCGGTTCCTGGGATAGTCGAAGAGTCGGGTTCTGACCCACCTCTGTTGGTATAGAGAAAGATGGGGAATCCGAAGGCCTCCTCGCAGGATGCTCCCAGCTTCAGAATCGAACGGATCCGTGGCGGTCGCCGAAGGAATCACACCCCGGCGGTCATCCGTGTCTCGGGCGGCTTTCGGCTTGACCCCCGCACGCACCAAAGGGACGGCGCCCCATTTGTGGACGCCAATGATGCGAGACCCATAGGCCCGCGCCAAAGATCCTGCGCGTGGCGGAAGTCGAGGGCGCCGAAAAAGGAGAGCGCCGCGCCGGCGCGCCGGTGAGAGGGGAAGGGTTTGCCCTAGGCTTCCTGGCCAACCATTGGTTTTAATGGTCTTTACGGAGCCACACCATTATTTTACTAAGGATTTTACACTACGCAACCAGAGTCAACCGAACTCTTTGAATGGTCTTACGGAAGCCTAGGGTTGGGGTTTTGGTTCAACTGGCCACGGGAATCCATGCGAGACGCTGGACGCTGGCCGAGGGCAGAGATGACCACAAACGTGGGGAGATGACAACCCGCTTGGAGGATTCCATGCTGCAAAAGTTGCAAACACCTTCTGTTACAAGGGGTTGTTTGATGCACCAAAGAATCTTAAAGAGAGGTCATCATTGGCCATCCCAGCTGGATTTATGTCTCATGTGTTCTCATGCCATGCACCATGCACAGCACAACCTTCACAATAAACCGAAACAATCTGCGCATCTGCCCATCTTCTCCGCTGCTTTTACCAGTGCCTCGTCAGGTTGGAGTCCTCTGGTGCATACGGTGCAAGAAATCAGAATGACCTTATAAATCGAATGACTCGAATAAACAACCCCATGGTGTAAATATACTGCCCCGCCTGAAAAAGACAGTGGCATCACCAGAAGGCCTTTGGCAGCACATTCTCCAACTATACCCAATCAGGTGAACCCCCTTCGGTTGGGGGCCAATTGTTCGAACAAGCTTCTCCAAGGAGTTATGTTTTGGCTTCTTCACCCTTTCCTCAGTTGGGATCCACGTCATCAAGTATAGAATCAACCTCCCAGAGTCGCAAGTTTCGGCTTCACCAGCCATGACTTCACTCATCAGCTTCCCAGCCCTTCACACTTCAGCCCTTCAGCTTGCTCCATGGCCTTTCAGCGGAGCTCCGGGCCTCACCGCGGGGTGACCTGATGCAGGTGCGGAGACTCGGAGACCATCTGCGAGACTCGGAGACTCTGAGGTCACGAACTGAAGGTCCTGGAAGTCCATAAGCCAATCATCCTCAGACGCGACCCATGGGACTGGAAGATAAGGCCGATCAATAGACCCCAGGTCAACCACCCCTGTCTGTGTGCAAATATGGTATACATATGGAGTTTCTGGGCATAATCAGAACAAGTGGAGTCAGTTGAGACTCGGAACAAGTGGTCAACTCAGCGGCCACTGGTTCAGAGGTGCTGGCTTTTGTTCCCCGCTTCTTCACTCTGGGCACTTGGCAATCTTCGATTCAACCCACCACTTGAAGATCGAAACAACCAACAGAGCTTGAAGAACCCTATAATAATTCGACTCTCCCAGGAACCGGTACCCCAGGTTTTCCGGGTCCTAATTATTTACGGTCACTGGATACCTTATGTTGGAACGCTTCTTCTCTCCGATCTAAACCGGACCGCCAGTGTTGATCTTGCACTCCAGCTCCGCCGCTCCGCCGCTCGCCTCCGGCGCTCTCCCGGCGTCGTCCGCGGTGTCTCCCGAGCCAGGCGCTGCTTCGAGGTGCTCGGCCGCACCGGGCGACCGGAGCTCTTCTTCGAGGCCGCGGTGGGGTGGTGCGGAGGGGCGGAGTGGGTGCAGAAGAGGCATGAAGAGACCCTCCCAGACCCTGGGGTGTGCTGGAGCAGCCAGCCCACTACACTACTGCGATCGCCGTCGAAGAAGCAGGTCTGGATGGATCCAGCGATCGTTGGAGAAGGAACCCAATCTGTGCAGAGAAGCCGAGGACATCCTCTTGACCTTCCAACAGAGGTATCCAGTGACCTTATAATTAGGACCCGGAAAACCTGGGGTACCGGTTCCTGAAATAGTCGAACTAGGGTTCTTCAACCTCTGTTGGTTCTTTTTTGGGGAGCAGCATTGAATTCATGAACACCCCCTAGGGCTCCAACCACCTCCTGAGAAGATGGTTGGGGTGGGTTTGGGGGGTCTAACCACCTTCTGAGGATATGGTTGGAGCCCTAGGGATCATCTGTCAGCAACGAGCCCCGAGCCCTTCTGGGACCAGGACCGTTCCTGGCTGGTTTCGCCTCGCCGAAGGCACTGCGCTGTGGATCGACACCCCGACGGACCGGGGATGAACATGTTCTCGGTCACCACGCGGTGTTCAAGAGAATCAACTGAGAACCTGGTGCACGAACCAAGCCGTTGCTTTCGCCAAGGCCGACTGACTCGCCTCCCGAGGGGCTTTTTCTCAACGTGCGGCAGCCCAGCATCGTACCAAGGTGTGAGGGGCATTTAGCATGGCGCTACGCGGCGTCGCATGGCTTTTGTCATTGCTATTTCAGTTGACTTCTTAGAAATACAAAGCTTGTAGATTCACTCGGTGACTTTTTGAATTGAACTCTCCAATGTATTGAGAGTAGCTGAGTGGTTCCGCGATGTTCAGTGGGTATAGGATGTAAGCGGGCTGGCTCGCGGAGCCACTCCAGGCTCTTCAAAGTGACCTTTTCATTCCCGGGTTTGAGGTCACTTGGACCTGTCAAGGCCACTCAAGGCACGAAGCCCACTAAGGGAACGAAGAGAACACGAAGCCTCGATCCTTTCCTATCCAACTCATCCCACACCAGACCTCCTATAAGGGGTGGTGAATGGGACACCCCGAAGCACCAAAGAAGCACCTCGGGGCTATCGATGGACACCCCGAATCGACCTCCGTGGCATACACTGCATCCGGGAATCCGGCTGCAGTGAAAGCCGCTGCCCGCTCTGGGCTCGAGCTGGGCAACCTGCACCACGTTACGATTCGATTCGCAGCATGACGACGCAGTGGCGATGGTGGATGCTGGGTGTGCCAACGGACGCTGGGTTGGAGCAAGTGCGGGGGTGGCGGAGGGTGTAGGGCTGCAAGTGATCCCTCCTGGCACCCCAAGTACCTTCTCAGAAGGTGCTTGGAGCCCTATGGGTTGTTTTTCACGAAGCTGAGCTGATCCCAGATTTGACGCTCGGAATAATCATGAATCATGGAAGTGAATGCCGTGCCTGTAGAGGTCTTGCTTTTACAGCCCAGCTTGGAGCGGAACCTCCTGTGGAACTCCCCCCCCGGGCAAATGAGCGGCAAACCGAACCCGACAATTCGTGACCCACCCATTGATCTAATGGACTCTTACTGAACAACCATCGTTTCTTTATAAAGGTCTGAGACTACAACACCAGGTCAACCATTTCTTTTTCGTCGACCCGAAGGCGGCTTTGAGGGGGGGACCCCATGCCCATGTCCAGCTCTTCGGCTTTTTACAGCAACTCCAGAGCCTCGGCCTCTGCCATGGCGGCCGGAGCTCGTCGCCGCGTGAGCTCCGCGGCCTCTCCGAGGCAGTGGCTTTGGAGAACGGCCTGGCTTTAACGCCTCCCATGGGATGGATGACCTGGCAGCGCGCCTAGGACCGAGGAGAGGTTTCCAAACGCGCAAGGAGAGCGCGAGGAGATGGGGGCGAACACGAGAAACCAAGCGAAGAACGCGAGCATCAGTACTTCGATTGAGAAGAACATATATAGGCCTGCAAGAACTGGGAAAAGCAATCACAAAAAAACAGAATACACCGACCTGTGCAAATACTTACTGAGATTCTGCCCTTGCTCTTTGCTGCAGGATTTCTGCGAGCATGGGGCCTTTTGGTGTGGGAAGCGATTTCCAGAAGATTCAAGAACCCTCCCTGGAGGCCCCCAAGGTCAACTAAGCAGTTCAAGCACGACAGAACATGACAGAACCTACCCAAACTCCATCCGTCGTGTCACGTCTTCTTCTTCCTGCCCTTGGCTTGGTCGCGCCCTTTCGCACCGGACGGCCGCGGAACCCCTTTTCACGACGGACACCGAACCGGTGCCCGAGGCTACCGCTGTAACATGGACTGTGACAGCGATCCCAGCACCTGCATCAACGAGCAGTTGATCAAAGAGATGGCCGATCGCATGGCCGAGGCCGCGCGCGGCGAACGGTCGCCGGTGCGTGGATATTTCTGCGTGGCGGTTCCCATCTCCGGGCGAGAGGGGTGCCGCTTTTGGGGGGGGGGTTTGGTCCATGTGTTTGGCGGGCGGTGGCGGTGGAGACTTAGGAGAAGAAACATGAAACAGAGAAGACAAAGGTTTGGATCCATGCTAGGGCTGTTGGATCATTGCCTGTTACTACTATAAGAAGGGGATACCCGATACCCCATGGTTATGTACAAGCACTAGGTGCTATGGTTCCAAACGGACCTCTAGGCTCCAAAGCGCCATCATGGCCAGCAAAAAACCATGGTCGGTTCCGGGTGTTTTTCAACGGTTCCACAGGGCCGTGCACTCGACAGGTCGACCCCCCCACAGAGGTTGAAGAACCCTAGGTTCGACGAGCCCCAGACACGACCTGTCTGGGACTGCCAGCCATAGGACTGCCCGCCCCAGACAGACCTGGCACCACCCCGGGCGTTTCTCAGCATAGAGATGGCAGTCCCATGATTGGGCAAAATCAAGGTTCACGGGTCGTGACCTCCGTTGCTTCTCCGACGTGGCCCAGTTCGCGAGGGGCAGTCTTTCTCCGAAAAAACCACGTGGACTCGCTGGAGTCCTCCAATTCCGTCCCCATACGTGTGGTGAACCCTTCTATTTTCCAGGCAATCAGTATACGGAAAACATATATATAGGCAAACGTATACCAGGCTAGCTTGACAATTAGGATATTATATATTTTTTTGCTGTTTTGTCAATTCCCCCGCCACGCCGCAAGAGCTGCCTCTCCGGCTCAGCTAGTTGGCGTCTTCAACATCTTCACAGAGATCCAGGCAGGGACCCTTCAAGCACATAGATCAACCTGTAGGAGAACACTAAAGGTAAATTAGATCATTGAAGGGTCCATTTGTCCGACTGAAGGGTTTTGGTTTTTTAGGCTTGTATTGTTAACTGTTGATCATTGCTGGCAGGCTCTTGTCCTCCTTTCTTCGGAAGCCTCTTCACTTTGGGAAGGCGAGGTCTGGGGACCTGACCAGGGTATCTGAGGAAGCAGTCTTGCATTTAGGGCCGCTCCTTGCATTTGATGGGTACCACCTGTGATGGCAAGGGTGAGCCGTGCTTTTGTTGGCAGCATTTTTGGCTCTGCGGTTCTTCGGTTCCGCGGTTCTTCGGTTCCGTGGTTCTTCGGTTGCGCGGTGCACTCCATGGCCGACCCAGCAGCAGCAGAAGTTGAGGTTGACGTTGAGGCGGCTCCTGAGGGTGGTGTTCCCGAAGCCCTTCAGCAGATGGCCGATTTGCTGGAGGCAGCTGAAGACCCTGTGCCTGAAGATTTGGGTGCCCAGGCCGGCAAACTTTTTGGGCTCAGTGGTTCCCCCTGCCTAAGCAGTCCCATTGTCACACAGGCTCCTACCTGAAAACCATGCCTGGGTTGCCGAGGCACAAAGCCTGCGGGAAGCAAGGTGGCTTTCTGCCAAGGAGCGTGGCTACCCCGACTCAAGGAAGGAGTCCAAGTGGCGTGAAAGGCACGCTCTGTGGTGCGAAGCCAACAATGTCAACGTCAACTCAACCAGGCTTGTGGGTCCTTGCCCTGACGACCTGTTTCTTCATCTTCCCCGAGAGAGGGATTTGTGGACCAAGTTGATGTTGAATTGCCAGCAGCCTGCTCATGCTGTGGCGGACATATCCCAAAGCTTGGACAGAGTGAAGGTTAGGCATTCTGTTTTGCCAACTATCACTCCTGGTGGCCATGTCATTGTGGGTGAGGTGAAGCGTGCTTTGGCCCCTTTGGAGAAGCTGCTCATCCATGGTTTGCCACTGCATCGTATGGAGCTGCCAGATTCGATTTCAAGTGCAGAGTGGGAATCTATGGGAGGCAACATGATGCACCTTCAAACAGTTGGGTTTGCTTGCTTGCTTGCTCTGAGCTTGGTGGACTGGCAGGGCACCAAGTACTGTGAATGGGCCAAGCATGGACCGCAGGGGCAGAGGGGCGGCGCCGGCTCCAGCAGCATTGCAACCCATCCAAAAGCACGATCAGCCGCAGAAAAAAGGCGTGAGGACAAGCTTCGGGCTCGTTTTGGCTTAATTCGATCTCCCCAGGGTGTGCGGCGCTTGGCCAATCCCCAGTGCAAAAGGACCAAGAAGAATCAGCAGAAGCAAAGGCGGTTGCCAAAGCACGTTGCTAGCTTGTGTGGAACACGCTGGGCTAGTTAGCGGTGCTGCGGTTCTGCGGTCCTTGTTTTATGAAAGCAAGCAAATTGACACAATTAATTCAAACAGCCAGATTGGATGCACTGTGCTAGCAGAAATTCAGAAAGCTGCTTCTGTCATGTTTCGCTGTGGGTTTTGCCATGTTTTGGGCTTGGGTTTTGCCTTGTTTTTTTGCTAGAAATCAAGTGGTAGGTGTTTCGCCCTGCTTTGGCAGCCGAAACTGCATTGTCATTGTCATTCACATCTGTGATTGCAGGCTGCAGCAATGCTATATTGCTACGGACTTGGCCTGTGCGTTGCTTCGCGACAAGATGTGGAGACACCGACGCGCGGCTCTTGGAAATTGAGCGATTTCCTTTGGTTCCGTCCTGCAGCCAAGACGCGCAGTTTCAGGATCCACTTGACTGATGATTTGGCCTTGAGCCTCGTCAGGCACAAGTCACTTTGATTTTTTTTCCCTCTATAGACTAAGACCTTGCTTGTTGAGCCTATTCACTAATTTAATAATCCTGGTGAGCCAGGTCTTTGGCAGTTTCATCAGCCTTCAAGACTTGTGCAAAATTGCCTGGTTCACACTGGGAAGTAACAGTGGGTGGGTCTGTGGGAGAGCCAGCCTCCCGGAAGAAGGTGCCCTTGAAGAAGCTAGCGACTCTAAGAGACCTAGTCTCTTTCTTGCGCGCCATCCGTTCATTGAGACGGTCACGGGGTGTTTGTGGCAAATTCATGCGAGCTGGTCAATGAGTTGCACCAGCACTGTGTATAGAGAGGGAATCGCCTGATGGCTCACACACTGCTTTTTGACTTCGCTCAGCGGGTTTGATAAAACAGTGCCAATTGGAATACACTTACAGTTTTTAAAAACCAGGGGTGTAATGACTAGAGGATTTCCGTAGTGAATTCACAAACTCAGGTCCCAGCCATCGCCAGTGGGGTCTTCCATCGGCTTTCACTTCCGCTTTTTAAAAACCATTGGTGTATTGAAAGGTTTTTTTTCTATGTCAATTCACTCCTTTTCCTTTCAGAATACGCTCCTGGTTCGCAAAAACCGCGGCTTGTTGCAATCCAAGGGTGGATTGATTGATGTAAAGGTTTTTGCATTGCAAGGGTCAGCTGTCAATCCAAGGGTGCTCCATTGCTTTTAAGGGTTGAGTCATTGATTCTAAGGGTCGTGTTAGTTTAGAGCATTGTTCTCATGTGTTGGTGTAGTTTCCAGCAGCCTACGCAGTGTTGGTCAACCTTCTTCTGGGTTTCCATTGTTCTTGACATTGACCTCGGCTTGCCAGGCTGAAGATGCCGCCAGGGCCCAAGCCCATGCCAGCCCGCAAAGCCGGACTGGGTTCATGCGCCATGCGACGCATGCAAGTTAAGTGAATAAGCATCGCCCTTACAACAGCCAGTTCACCTTTCCATGCAGTCGTTTTTTGCCGAGTGCGCGTCTAAGGGTCCAAATATGAGACTGAAGGGTGTTTTTTTCTCGGTTGTCACAAGTGGTTCAGAAGTTCTGCGGTTCCTTTTGGCGCCTCCTTCCCTGCCATGCCCGTGCTGCCATTCCGCCTGAGAGGGAAGCAACCCTGGCCCCAGCGAACAAGCCCACTCAAGGCCAAGAAAGCTGCAATGAAGACTAAGAATCAGAAGCTAACAGGTCGTGCCATTGGTGTTTCTGAAGGCATTGTGCCCAAGGCAAGAAAGCCTTTTGCCTTGTTTGTGCAAGAGAGGAGCAAGCTAGGGAAGGGTGCTAGCCGTGAAGATTTTGCTGCTGAGATGCGTGGCCTTGGCGCTTCTTGGAAAGCTTTGTCTGACGAAGCCAAAGAGGCTTACAAGTCCAAGTCAGCCCTAGAGTTTAGACAGCAGCGGAATTCAATGCGGCTGCACATTTCTCAGAAGCCACCCAGCTGCCATGGTTCGGAAGACAAGAAAGCTGTGGACTCCATTGAGAAGCTTGGTGCTTACAAAATACTTCAGCAAGATGGTCAGGAGCACAGCTGGCAGCTGGGGGAGGGTTCCTATGGCTCGGTTCTGATGGCTGTGGATGACAAAGGACGAAGGTGTGCACTCAAGATCTTTAAAGGCAAGCATGCTGCAGAGTGCTTAGAACACGAGGCTTCAATGAACTCCCTTGTGCAGACCCGTGCGAAGCCCTGTGACCTGCAGTGGTTCCCACAGCTGTACTTTTCTCAGGTCATCAGGAGGCCGTTCCCATACTTGGCCTTTGAGTACTGCGGCTCCAGCTTGCAGGCAGTCCTTTTGCAAGGACCATTGGAGCCTCAAGCCATACCCATCATCGCTTTGCAGTTGAAGTCTGCGCTGTGTGTGCTTCATCGCCATGATGTGGTGCATTTAGATGTCAAGCCCTCCAACATTTTGTGGAGTGCAGACACTTTTCAAGCCAAGCTTGGTGATTTCGGGATGTCTGAATGCACCAAGCAGCCAAGCTTGAAGCTGGTGAATTACGTGACTGCGCTTTACCGGCCCCCCCTGAGCTGTGGGATGTGTCTCTTCGTGATCTCGCCTACCACTTGGTGGCTGCTGTGGATGTGTGGTCCTACGGGTGTGTGATGTATGAGTGCTCAACTGCACGCCCCCTCATGCTGCCCATGCATGGAAACGGTAGTCCTAGGCACACTGTGCAAGTGTGGTGCCGAGATTGGCAAAGCCTAGGCCGTTCCAGTCTCAGGCAAGTTTACCCAGGCAATGATGCACGGCGTTTGCACTGCCGCCTTTTGCGAGCAGGTTGCCTGGCGCCCAAGGTTTTGCGCGCTCTTCAACCAAATCCTTCAAAGAGGGACTATGGCTTCTGCTGAATGCAGGTAGCCAAGGAACTAGCAAAGTGGGGTTTGTCTCACAATGCAGTGGGGTGCATGTGAGTAGGGGGTTGGATTGCTCTGCACTGCGGTTCTGCGGTCCTACCATCCACGGTGATGCAGCTGCAGGCAGAGATTTCGCAGGGTCCAGAATAAAAGAATGCGCTCGCGTCCATGTTTGCGCGGACGCATTGGTTGCTTCCCAGACAGCTGACGAAATGTTTGAAGATTGAGATTTCTATCCTTCTAAGATGAGGCTTTAACACGCTGAGTCTTTATATCAAGATGCTTGACGCACTAAGATCCGCCTGTCGTGCCCAGGTCACCCATGCGGCGCTGTGGTTCTCCGACGCATCTGCGAGATATACAAAGGGGCGAGAGTGACAGAGCCGGGCGGATGCCCAAAATATATCAAAATATACCCAGATCCCTTAATATTTTTCGGGACCATTGAATTGTCAACCTAGCAGGATCATCCTGTTTGGGTGTCCTGGCCAGACTACCCTATACCCTACACGTAAACAGGTCTCCAGACAGGGCACCCGGACAGGAAGTGCTACCGCGCCGAACAGAGCATGCCATCCAACACGTGAACCCTTTTCGCTTGCAGCCTGTCCCTCAGCCCCATTTTGCCGTTCCATGCGAGGATGGTTGGCTGGAGGCGGGCTACCGCTATGTGAGCATCGACGATTGCTGGATGACCAAGGAGCGTGATGCCCAGGGTCGCCAGGCCGGTCGACCCCTAAAGGAGAAGCGACGTGAATGGAATGCAAGGATGTCCTGGGGTGTAAGAAGAGACAGCGAGTCTATATTATATATACCCCAGCGCATCCAGTTACCACTATAGCTGGCAACCAGTGGTTCCAAAGACTAAAAACATAGACCTAGAATCCCTGGTTCCTTATGTAGTGGTAACTGGGATGCACTGGGTACTGTAAGAAGTCGACTGAGGACAGGAGCTCCGAGCTCCGAGCTCAGCGAGTCGCGCGTCGCGACTTTCAGCGAATCCCCAACCTCCGACTCTAGGATCTCACCTATTCTGACTACTTGGAGCCTCAAAGTACCTCAGAACATGGGCACAGTCGAACCTGTTTTTATCGGGCCATGGGCCATGTCGCATTTTCTAGTACTGGGTCAGTCGGGTCCAGGTACCCCAAAACCACCCGGACTGGAACAGCTGCGGCGAAAACCACCCCAGCCCGATCGGTCCTGGCGCCAGTCCGGAGGGTCTGACTAGCTGCTACACCGCTACGCCACCACCCTGGGGAGTCCTCCTGCGGGGTCCGGCAGGGTGGTATGTCCATCCGCACTGTTCAGATCGCAGCACGCTGGTCAACGTTTTCGAGGCAACAGCCATGACAGCATGCCAACAAACATGCCCAACACAAAGGCCATACAACAAACGCAACACAACCATGTATAAAGCAACAGCCATGACTGGGATCCACTGGTAGACTGGATATATGGCCGTGGTAAGTTGGGCGACTCAAGGTCGCCGTCTTACAACTGTGTGCCTCCTCAAGTCGTTGTTGTTCTTTGAACGAAGTGATTTTGGGCATCGATGCAACCTGAATGACCTCTATGTTTGACCGCCCACCACCCCAAAGCATTGGTCCCTTTTTCATGGTCCCTTTTCCTATCACACTACCAACAGAGGTTGAAGAACCCTAGTTCGGCTATCCCAGTTCGGTACCCTGGTAGGGTCCTATTTACGGTCACTTCACCGCTGTTGGCTATATAGTTGGATCAAAAGCATGGCTTTAGGCGCTGGACAACCTCAAATCGGTGCCCCACATCCACCCATGTTCCGAAGGGAGCGAGCGCTGGACGCTTCCTCTGCCACTGGGCCTTGAGTTGACCCCTGCCCCGCACGCCGAGCTCGGCCGCCGGGAGACACGCCTTGCGCCTTGCTCGGAGCGCTGCAGGTCGCTGACCCCAAGCGATTTCCTTCGGGGATGGCGGCCTTGGGCTCCGTGGAGATGAAGGAGGAGGTGGGTGGAACTTCTTATGCCCTAGGCTTCCAACCACCCAGATGTTCAGGGGTTTGTGCCCCCCCAATTCGCCATACACACAGGTCGTTGCCCTTTTGGTGTAATGGTTTGTTGGAAGGCTTAGGCTACAGTATGGACTGCGGACGCCGCACGCGGACGACCACGACGGCCACCGGGACGGGAGGGGGGCTCTTGGGCGCCGGTGCACGTCCCAACAGAGGTGGGTCAGGACCCGACTCTTCGACTCTCCCCAGGAACCGGTACCCCAGGTTTTCCGGGTTCGAATGATTTACGGTCACATCGGATACCTCATGTTGGTCCCGCCCGGTCCGGACCTGCCGAGGTGACTACATCCATGGGACGCCTGGAGCGCGAACGCTCGCGCCTTCCGGGTCGAGAGCGACCGGTCGAAGAGAGTCGAGAGGAGTCCCCCTGGTTGAGGAGAGGCGATTCATGGCACGGTGTAATGCGGTAAGAGTAGATGAGTGGCCGGTTTGAGAGGAAGGAGTGATCATAGTCGGTTGGTGGGTTGGTGCTCCAACATGATTAAGTAATTTTGATGTTAGCACCAGGACCAACACTTATAAGAGATCTACAAAATCGCCTCTAGCTGTTGGAAGGTCCTGGTATAGATGGTCGTAGGACACTGTAGGGTTCCAAGTACCGGTCGAACCTCTCTCAGGTTTGGCCTAGAATGGTTGAGGTCTGTGCCCCAGACAGCCATTCCTGTTGATGAATTGGTTGATGAATCACCGGAGACCATCGAAGCTGCCAGGGGGGTATCATTATGACATGAATTCATATCCCAGACACGATTTAATGGGACTGGCCATATATGCCGATCAGGCCAGGGGTGGTGCCAGGGGGGGTCAATTGATCGGCATATATGGCAGTCCCATGGAGTGTGTGGGATATGAATTCCATCCGCATCAGCTCACTTAAATTTCCAACCTTTTGTTGCGGTCCACGTTCTCTTTTTCGAAGAAACCGTGCCTGCCTGACATATACTATATATTTTGATCCAGCTCGCTCCAAACAGGGCTGACTGAAGACCTGATGGACGTAGTGGATTGTGTATGACCAGCCTTAGTAAAGTACAACATGAGGTCCAACTGTTTCCATATGATTCAATTTGCATGACACTTTCAACTTCAATTTCTGGAAGGGGCAGCCAAGGATACCCGCCAAACGCCGGTCGGAACCCCGCAGACCGAGCCTGGCTCACGAAAACACTTCGCCACGCCCAGGAAGGGCTTGAAGTTCGCCACCTACGGCGACATCGGCGCGAAGACGTGCCAAGGCTTTACCGGTTTCCAAGGCCACTTCGAGCAGGACGGGCCCGCGCCACCGCGGACGGAGCTGGCCGGTGGTAGACCCGGACCGTCCGACCGCCGGGTCGGGATCCGCCGGACCTTAGGTTCGGGACGACCTGGCGAATTTGGGGCCTTTCTTTTCATCATCTCCTTCCTCACCGTAGCTGAGGCGGTACTTGGATCGAGACGGTACTCGGAGAGTAGTGCTTGAAAAATGGGGTCGTCCAGTCCAGCCGTCGCACACTCTAGACAGGACAGTCTTGGTAGGACTTCTTCCTTCTTCCTTCGCGGTCCGCCTCGTGGTTTAGGGAACCCCCCACAGCTCCCCCCGTTCGCTCCTCCGCGGGATCCGCGAGAGGAAGGCGGAAGACGGGAAGACGGGCGCGGGATCCGACGGGACGGTTTTGCGGGTCAGACGGTAGGATGCGCAGACCTTTGCGGAGTGGAAGGTGGACTACTTGAAGGTGGATGGATGCTTCGAGTCGCCCAAGGACCCGACCGTCCCGGGGTTCCCGGGCACCGTGGGGCCAAGCAAAAGCATGGGGCCAAACAAAAGCATGACGCATGACAAAGACCATGGTTTTCACAGACCAACAACCATGGTGTTTTTTGCTAGGGAAAAGCCGGTGTTTTTGATGGTTTGTGGGGTTTGTGGTTGGGGGGAGGGAGGTTTGGGAGGCGACAGGGGGCCGATCCCTATACCAGGACCCTTATAGGAGTTGGGTTCGACACCCCGAATCACCTCTTTTCGGGGCTATATGGGTTCGACATCCCCTGGATCACCGTGCGCCAATAGAGCTTGTTCTTTTGGGGGGGGGAAGTGGGGACACCACCCTGCACTAAGCAAGAACAGGGTAGAATAAAGGTGAACCAATTCGGTGAACCTTCAGTTTCAACTGAAGGAATCCCTAGTGGTGGCGCCCGTTCGTTGAGGTCTGGACGCATGGCCCCCCCAGCTCCTTCGACTCGAGAGAGCCGGGGGCGAGTGGCGCCCGCCTGTCCGAGACTTCGAAGCGGTCGCCCGGTTCGACCCGCAGCGCGGCTCAAGCCGAGAGCCGTTCCTGTTTTCCTTCCAAGAGAGGTGGAGGTGAAAGTGTCTGTAAGTAGGACCCGGAAAACCTGGGGTACCGGTTCCTGGCAGAGTCGTCTAGTTGGGGCTCTGAAAAACTACTGTTGCTTTCTTTCTTCTGAAGCTTCGATGATGCTGGTTGTTGCCGTGTCTGGCAACACAGTTGCTCAGCTTGAGGAGGAGGAGCTGCGCCACATGGTGGAACAGAGGAAAACTGTTCGGGACCTAAAGCGACTTCTTTCAGCTCAGGTTGGGTGCTCTAGGTTTCGGCTAAGACTCATCAGTGATGACATGGGCGAATTGAGGGATGACTTGCCTTTGCAACCGCTACCGCGTGTACAGCTAGTTATCATACCCTTTTGTGCTCCTGATGAGATGATGCATCTAGAACTTTTGCGGAGCTGCCAGGAAAATTGTGTGGCACATATTGAAAAGCTGCTTCAAAGACCACAGGACCCGAAATATGGGAGAAGACGAGCTCTCCCTGTTGCCGCCCAGGAAGGCAACTTGGAAGTTGTTCGATTGTTGCTTGAGGCTGAAGCTGACAAAGATGCCGCCGCAAGGACAGATGGGGAAGCAGCTTTGGACAAGGCAGCTGAGAATGGCCACGTGGAAGTGGTTCGATTGCTGCTGGAGTCTGCAGCAGCGACAGAACGGGTAACGGCCACTCCGTTGTATTGTGCAGCCGTGAATCGCCATGTGGAAATTGTGCAATTGTTGCTGGAGGCTGACAAAGATGCAGCCTTGACAAGGGGGGGCAATGGCGTTGTATTATGCAGCCCTGTTTGGTGACTTGGAAGTCGCGCGATTGTTGCTGGAGGGTGGGGCTGACAAAGATGCAGTATTTAGAGGTGGGGAAACGGCTGTGCACATTGCAGCCCAGCAAGGCCACTTGGAAGTCGTGCGATTGTTGCTGGAGGCTGGAGCTGAC